GAGGTGGTCTCTGCCCACGGGCCCACCTGAGGCAGTGGCCACTGTGGGGTAGGATCTCAGACCTGACAGTCCTGGCATCAGAGGCCATGCTTTCTGAGAGCACAGCAGAAAATTGTCTGTGATGATCACACACCAAGCAACTTCATCAGCTGAAGTTCTGTCCCGGTTTAGTGGGACAGAATTTTAGAGTCAGTTTTCTGTAGAGAAAAACTGCAATTTTGTAAGGACTACAACACACTATTTCGTGAGAACAAAGTGATAAAACTTTGTTACAGGTTTCAGCTAATACTGGTATGCAAGTTGCCACGGTGCTCAAGGTCTTCCAGGTCTTGAGATAAACAGATGCAAGGACTGGGGGAATGGAAACCCAGTGGAGTCATCCCCAGAGTGACCCCAGGCTGACCAATTAATATTACTCATACCAGAAACATCACATTCACTATAAACTGGGGAATTTGCTGGGGATGGCTCTCCTGCTCTGCCTCTTGCTCTCCCTCCTGCTCCCTCTTCCATGGCTGACATCTCAAGAGGGACTTGTTTACCATCCTGACCCTGAGGCCTACTCCCTCACAACATTGGCTGAGTATAACTCTGTGTACTTTGTAACTGTTATTAATATTAGTTGTTTATTATTATTTTTATTTTATTAAATATATTTCTATTTCAACCCACAGATCTCCTTTCCTTTTCCCAACCTCCCTCCCCAGGTGGGGAGGAGGCATTGGGTGATAGAGCAACTGTATAAATCATGCAAGTTCACATGAGAAATGTGCATGAAGAAGGCTTAAATGTGTGCCACTCTGCCTTCTCACCACGGCAGGACCAGTTCAGTGAGCATCATGTAACAAAGACAAGGAGCAGCAGAATCACTCTTTATCCAGGTTCTCAGCTACTGCTTTTGTTGCAAATCATGAAATGCAGTCTGAGCGCTAGAAGTGGAGCTATGAGTGATCATTACTCAGCTACACACAACAGGAACTCCTCTCCCAGACTGGCTGGTTCACCTTGCTGTGCCACGGTCACGGTAGTGGCAGTGGGGGGAGCCAGCAAGGCAGCACATGCTGCTTTATGCAGAAGTATATTTATTTCAGGAGTGTTGTAATAAAGCCTTGGTTCAGTGAGCGACTAGAGGTAACAGCGGCAATAGGAAAACATACCAAGAAATTGGGAGCAGAGGTCTGCCTCGTGTTGGCTGTGGCAGTGCTTTCCAGCACAGCGCTGCGAGGTGAGGGTCAGTGAAGCTGCTCAGCACACATCAGGAGAGTCTCTGCTCGGCAAAGGAGCTGGGGGAGCCAAACTCGCTTCGATCTGGCAGCAAAGAGCTTGTGGCTGCAGTGCATGGGGTAGGGTTGGCAGGTCAGCCACGCAAAAAGTGGGGAGGGGGTTCAGAGCATCCCGAGACTGGTCTCACTTGTAGCGTTTTGGCATGCAGGAAGGGCTTAGCTCAATGGAAAAACAAGCCTCACGCTGCAGGAGAGGTGGGCTGAGAGGAAGAACGAGGGACGGAGGAGGCCATGCAGTGGGGCTGGAGTCAAGGGCTAGTGCGTGTAATGGGAGCAGAGATGGACAGAGCTCTGTCCATCTGATAGGAAAGCAAGACAGGGGAGTGGGAGAGGGTGCAGGGAATTTGCAAGAGCTTTTCCATAAGCTCTGATGAATCGTTTGGCACCACAGCCAATTTAAGCAATCTCTGCCTCAGGCATAACAAAGGGGAAACCACAGGGTGGGGTTACAGCAGGGATGGGCAGGGACAATTGAGCCAGGTGCCATCAGAGGAACAGGCTGAACTACCACTGGGTGGTGGTGGTGCCAGTATAGCACAAACTGCCGATCACCAGTGGCTCAGAGATTTGGGGGTGTCCCTGGGAAGGCTAGGGGGCGGAGGAAGGGCAGGCACAGAGAAGGACTGGGAGCAGGTGTGCTCTGCAGTTCAGAGCAGCCTCAGCCAGCATGTGAAGGGGCAGAAGGTCTGAAATCAAGTAAAGCAGCTTCAGTCAACAAAAACCTCAACCTGAGTCAGCAATGTGCACCCACACCCCAGAAGGCCAACTGTGTCCTGGACTGCATGAAAAGCAGCACGGCCAGCAGGGCAAGGGAGGTGATTCTGCCCCTCTGCTCTGTTGAGACCCCACCTGAAGTACTGCGTCCAGCTCTGGGGCCCTAACATAAGGAGGACATGGAGCTGTTGGAGCAGGTCCAGAGGAGGCCACGAGGACGATCAGGGGCT